ACATGTATGATGGACAGTTTGTTAAGGTGTGCTACTCTAGCATCATGGCAGTGAGTTTTACATGGGCAAGCGTTACCAATATAAGCAATGCATCATATAACCAGATAACCAATATACTGTAGCTAATGTAACATACATTATAAACCCAAGGAACAAACACTCAAGAACAGAAAAGTGGTTGAGGTTTAAGACAAAGTCATTAGTTTCACACTTCATAGAACACGAAGTAATTGGAACGACAAAACTACACTAAAACCTTTTTCCAGATTGTTTGCTGAAGTTCAAGTTGGCTCTGCACTGCAGCAGAAATAAAAGGTCCCTGAAGCCAAGCATGCATTACAGTGTCTCTTCTGACTTCATTGCTGGCTTTTAGGATATTGAGGCAGGTAGGAAACCAGCCGTTTCATTGTGAAAGAAAGATGGAAAAAATAAGACAAAAGAGGGACATGGCCATGGCATGGAGGTTTGGATAGTGAAAGAGTAAAGATGCATGAAAAATGAGGAATAAGAGGAAGAAATTGATGAGGCCTGGGAAAGTTCTGAACCCTTCACCTTGGATTTGTGAAACAGGATGTTCAGCTTGTGTCTGGTGTGTGTGTGTGTGTGTGTGTGTGTGGTATGGAAGAGATCAGAGATACAAATGGAGAGGAAAGAAAGGAGGAAATAAAATGTGGAAGATCAAAAAAGAGGAAGTAGTAGTAGAAGATGGGGGAAACAGTATGAGTAGACAAGGCAGACTAGACTTCAACCTGCATCTCCCACACAAGCACCACAGCTCAATGGCCATATAAGCACTTTCAACCAATTCAAAAGTTTTTCAAAGGAGGGATGAAACTGCGCCCCTCAACCGAATATCTATGCGCAGTGAATCCATTTACTTGTGCAATATAGTGAAAACTTGTGCTAACAACTAAGTCATGACTTTGACAGACAAATTACAGATTATACTGAATTTATTCACATATACACTACCATAAATACTTTTATTCAGTAAGGATGCATTAAATTGATCAAAAGTGACAGTAAAGACTTTTATAAAAGATGTACAAAAGATTTCTATTTCAAATAAACACTGTTCTTTTGAACTTTCTATTCTTCAAAGGGTCCTGAAAAAAAAATTCCCACAAAAATATTAAGCAGCACAACTGTTTTCAACAGTGATAATATGACATTTTTCTTGAGCACCAAATGTAAAAAAATGTCAGCTTTGCCATCACAGGAATAAATCACATTTTAATATACTAAAATATAAAACAGTTATTTTGAACTGCAATTTTTTGCTCAAATAAATGCAACTTTGGTGAGCATAAGAGACCTCTTTCAAAAAAGTTTGAATGATAGTGTAGATTGCCACGGCGATGAGTGAAATTAGAGTGATAATTTGACTGTAGTCCTATGAAGCTACATAAAGTGACACAGCCCAATACTAAATACAAAGATGTCTACAGCTGTAGAGCTGGAAGGATTGTGCTTGGGAAATACTAGAATCAAGAGTTGGAGACATATTCAGTTTCAGACGGAGAGGTATTAGACTGTAGAGTTGTTTACTGGAAGCCTGCCTGTCACCATGTCTGATGAATGTCTTCACTCTCACTGCGGCCTTCCAATATTCCCATCTAATATATCATATCTACTGACACGTCTCTTGGTTTAAAACCAAATGCATGTTATTGCAAGCAAGACACACGTGCACAAAAGCATGCACAATTATATGCATGCATATGCACAGACAAAACATCACATTCTGCTTTACATTAACTAAATGTAGCAAGAGTACATTTTATTGACTATATAGACCATATGGGGGGTGTTTTTGGTCACAGGGTTGCAGGGGGTGAAAAGGAGGGGGAATGAGACAGACACGGAGGGAGCAGAAGGAGGTAAAACACACAAAAAAAACATGATTGCAACATTTCCTCACTCAGTACCTAGCCAACATTTCCCAGATTCCTTCTATTTTCTGTAAAAAATAAAATTAATGGATAGATTTATGTTTGTCTAGGGGCTCACATGTGGAATCTGGGGCGTTCTGCTGAAGGTAAATATTTACGAACCCTGGCCCCTGATTTGAGGAAATAAAACAGTGTCTCTTCCTCAACTATCCTTGACCTCTGACATCCGGTCCCTGTCACACACCAGCTGAGATGTATTATGGTGTCTGCATCTATGGTGATGTATTACACTGGCTAGGTTAACCCAGAATGTGACACTAGATAAAATGTCAGGTCATTATAGCACCACTGGGAAGCTAAAGTCAAACAAAACCAAACACAGATCCTCACAAATGGTGTCATTCATCTTTTCTCTGTACTCGTTCATCCATGTCACCTATGTTTTACTTTCACTAAATAATGGCAAGAGGTCAGTTCAGATGAAATGGCCTTTAGTCTTGTTATTAAGCACTGTTTAGACATCAGGACAATGCACATTAGCAGGCTTTTTTTTAGTAAATTCCAATGATACTCAGGGCAACTTTCTTTTTAAAATCTCTAAAGATTAAAACTTTACCTGTGGGAACAAACTTGATCCAAGCTATAACTTTTCTGTGCACAGAAGCAAAACAACACGTCTGGAAAAATACTGCTATTATCTGTGACTGAAAAGCATGACTTTACTAGCGTCAGCTTTTTGTCCTTTTGCTTTTTATTATATGATTTATTGCATTCATTATTAAAACAGTCCCCATGATCAGACACAAGAAACCCTGGCCTGGCCTTCATTTTACTTTTCTGGGGGCCTCCATAGAGTGAGCCAACCGCCCCTGGCCTGCTATGAGTTTGTATTCTGTCATTAATTACAGCATTCTGCTGCTAATTAAGAGTTAATTCTTTGTGAGGAATGCTATTGCCCTGACGACATCTGATTGCGATTCGCAATTTAGTTCATGGCCTTCGTTATCACAACCAAAATTAACAGCACACTGGTGAAACACAATAAAACAGATAACAAAATCTGCTGTCTCTTCTGCAAACTCTTCTGCCCTTTCAAACTATAACTTACTCCAAATCAGACAATGACCTGTCAATTATGACTATTATGCATCGACTATGCCAACTACTTACAGCCCCAGCAATTTTTGAAAGATTCTTAAGAAGTTCTCAAATATTTTCTTAAGAACATCTTTTTTATTCTTAAGAAGAAAGACTTTTGGTACCTGACTGTATGGAGGTTCTTGCCAAAGATTCGCTGATCAACTCAATAAAAAACACTTTAAAGGCTGTGTTTTTGCACTGCCTGAAGATTACAGTAATAATCATAATCACACACTATGCAAGCATGCACACTATTTCCATTGTGACTGGCTGGACGGGACTCAGTGTCTTGTTTTTTAATGTGCTGTGTATTTTAAATAGTCATTTAGTATTTTAAATAGATGGAGTGGTCTGTTCCATTCATTTGCGCTTCGGCTTTTTGTCCTCTCTTTAGAGCAGGGCTGTCCAAACTCGGTCCTGGAGGGCCGGTGTC